CACCCCCACGGTGTGCAGTGGCTGAGGCTGTCCGCTGGGTAAGTGCTGCTGCTCCTGAGGACCTTGAACTGGGGCTGTTTCCTGCGGGCCCCACCGCAGAGAGGGTGGTCCTTGGGCTGGGAGGGGGAAAGGGGTTCTGAGAGGTGTCTTGCAAAGCCCTTGTTCAGGAGGATGGGGCTGGGTTTGGGGTCCAGAAAGGTCTGGGTTCAGATCCTGGCTCAGCCCTTTGTTAGCCGTGGAATCTTGGGTGAGCTTTACTTTCCGGGGTGGGAGGGGCAAGCGCTCTGGGAGGACAGGGGCCTGGTGTGTGTTTTTCTGTTTTTGAACCCACAGTGGCTAGCACATAGTAGGTCCTCAGTTGGTATCTGTGAGGTGAACAGTTGAGGCGTTTTTATCCGAAGTTGGTTTGCTGTGGCCTCTCTTAATGAGGGGAGATGGAATCTTTCTATGAGGAGATGATAGTGCTGGGGGTCGCGGGCTTGGCTGGGCAGCTCTTTCCTGCCTGGGCAGATAGCCGGCTGCTCACATGGGCTCCTCTGCCTGGCTCCCCTTCTGCCGTTTTCTGCCCCTGCGTTCGAAAGTGATCGCGGGCTGCCGGTGCCCTGGTCATTGATAGTGCAGGGAGAGGAATCGCTGAAAGCGTTTCCCCGTGTTTGGAGGGTCCATCCTGTCCCTTCCAAACTCTGGAGCTTTCCCACACCTCCTTCCTCCCCCCAGCTCTCAGATGCCTCCTGGCACCTGGTGTCTGTGTGTGCCCTCTGTGCCTGGCTCACTGCTGGTTTCTGTGAGGCTTTAAAAAAGAACGAGAGTAAGTTACGCCACCGCTGTGGTCTTCTGACCTTGGTATTCAATTTCAGCAGCGCTGTGTCTTTTTCTGCTGGTGTTTGAAGTGATTATAGGCTGCCCATGTCCTGACCATTGGGCAAAGGAAAATTTGCAAGGTTTTTTTTTTTTCCTGTTCACGGGATTCATACTTGTCCCTCCCAAACAGGACAGCCTTAAGTGACTGGCAGTGACCAAGCATGAGGTAGTCTGAGGATGGAGGGAGTCAGGCTGTAGTGCCTTCACTGCCTGAGAAGGATCCTCCCCTGGTTTCCTACTGCGTGGGCTGGTCATGTGTTGGCTTCTCGCCCCTGCAGGACTACCACGTGGCTGCTGTTGCATGAGGGGTATCATCAGGGAGGCCTGGACTGAGTCTCAGGTGAGTGGTCCTGGCTTGAGTTCTGGGCAGGCTGCGAGGCCGGAGGTGCTGGGTGATGGGGTGTGGGGAGAGAGTGCAGGGGAGGCTGCATCCTGGTGTCCTCGGCCTGGTGCCTTGGAACAGGCCGAGGCCTGGGCCTGCTTCTGCTTGTGAGAGCCCCTGATGAAGGCTGCTGTGGTGTTGAGCGGACAGAGGACTGCATTTTAGAGTCAAACCTAGATTTACATCCAGTGGCCAGCTGAGTGCGTTTCTGTGAGCCTGAGTGAGCATCCTGTCAGATGTTCAATACTGGAAGCACTCACACTCATTCTGTCAGAGCCCAAGGAGTCTCAGTATTTGTGCTATGAGTCTTCCTCTTGACTCAGCTGGGACGGGTAAGTCATCTCTGGATATGCAGGGTAGCTCTGTCATCTTAGCGGTAAGTCTGGTCAGTGACCTGTCTGCTGGTCAGGCCCTATTTGGGCCATTTTCCAGGATGCTGGCAGTGACCTCCCTTCTTGGCTCACTCACTGCCCTTTTCTGCCCCTGCATTCGAAAGTGATCGTGGGCTGCCTGTGCCCTGGTCATTGATAGTGCAGGGAGAGGAATCGCTGAAAGCGTTTCCCCGTGTTTGGAGGGTCCATCCTGTCCCTTCTGAACTCTGGAGCTTTCATACATGTCTTTCTTCCCACCAGTTTGTATTACTTTTTGGTAACAGTGCCGTGTGGTCACTGAGTGCCTTTTTCCCTAGGCTGGGCTCTGCCTCGCGGGTTTGTTTATGGCCTGGTGGAGGAGCCACCACAGGGGGTCATCTCCTCCTAGGTCTCCCCCCCCGGAAGCTTTCTCTGCCTCCCCACTGCACCCGTTTCCACATCCTCAGCCTCACCTCCCAGCACTAATCACACCTGGAAGTTGCTGATTTCCTTATCGAGCCTCTTGTGCTGTTATCCTGAGGGCAGTGCCTCCATCCTGTTCTGCGTGGTGTCTGATTGCTGACACGTAGTCCGTGGACTCCACTGCAGAGTGTCAGGGGAACCTTGCCCAGCCAGCCAGCCTGCTGGCCTGAGGCAGTCTTTTCTCCCACTGGAAGTGTTGTGTC